ATGTTTTAAAAATATGTACGCGACAGAATACGTCTATAGTCTTAAGCTTACAAGAACGGCGGGACACGGACAATGTCATGGGTAAGAACTATAATTTATAAAGCTGTCGAGGTTGTGCAAAAATAAATAATATGATGCCCAAAATAATTATACCACACGAACGAAGTCGCGGCCACAGCTAGGTTCTTCAATTATTGGATAAAAATGTATGAACTACTGTTGCCTAAAAAGTTGGGATAAACACAACACTTACGTTGAATAAACTAAACAAGTGACAAATACACACTTGTGAGCCGATACTTTGGACAAAAGTAGTAATTGCAGTGTGTGTATATTGTTATTTGTATATACTCGACCTCATTTGAATTATTAAAATTATTTCAAATCTGTATAATTACAATTCATTTGAGAATTAAAAATGTTGTTTGAACATATTATGTTCGTAGAGTAACGCATTTTCAATGTAAAATAAATTGTATCTGCCAACAAGTAAGCTTAAATGAATCGCTAGTGAACTGTCGACGCGCAGAATAGACGTTCGATACTAGCGCTACCCACCTGTCTAGTGTAATTACCTCCACCAAATTACTTCAAGTGGCCACTTTTAAATAGATTTATTTCAAAGTGTTTTAGGGGGGTAACTGTCAATTAACTTCCTTAAAATAATATCTCTGATACTGTACAACTAATGATTAATGTACTGATTCTGAAGTCTGCATTGTAGGAAAAAATATAATTAATGTTGGAAAGTCATTTAAAGTAACAATATCTTAGTAAATACTTTGTGGTGTGGTTTATTTAAATTTATTTTTTATTTTTATTGAGGAAAAAATACCTTAGAGAGCATTTTTTATATGTACTGTTAATGATAAACTTTACTAGTCATATTTATCATTACCAATCGTATCAAAAAATATCTTCCGATATGTACAGATGGCACTACAGTCAACAATTACGTATGTATCAGAGTGACCATTTATGCTGATAAAACATTGGTTTCCATTTGCTGAAATTGAAGCGATTAAAAACTTTCAGATACACAAATATTTGAGTGATACCTATTCGATAGGCGTATCATAAAACGGCGCTATTTTTAGCAAATTTGAACAGCGGACACAGTAAAAATTAATGCCCGTATCTCTAGTTTTTAAGGAAGATTTTAGTACTCTGATAAAGCAGGCTTTTAAGTGAAAAATTTAGAATGTTGACATCAAAATTTACACGTAATATTTAAATGTTTAAAAAATTTTTCGTGAATTTGAGCGTTACTAATCTCATTATATAGCACGAAACAACATTCCGATGTTGAGCAAGCGCGACACAAGTATTACAAAAGTAATTAAGAAAGACGCAATCTTATTGCCATTAGTATGACAACTCCGAATTGATATTGGATTCGCGCGCCCATTTATTAATTTTCCTCATTTCACTTGTCGGAAATTCCAAATGATTCAGAGACTTAATATATTCTGATGGTTTGATCTGTCTAATTTTCATGTAATTTACCAGTACGTACAAAACAACAGCGTAGACTACGTGCGCAACATTTCGCGTGTTATTTAAATGTGCACTACTCGCGTAAACTTAGACGTACAAACATGCACTGTATGTTTCAGTATTGCAGTACTGAGTACTACGCCGTAGCATATCTGCTACGGAGCCACGCGTTATAGCTCACGTAAGCCAAATACTATACTATACAACTACTTTGTATTGTACTAATTGCTTTCTCTTTAATAACAATTTAGTTATATTAACTTGTAATTAGATATTACAAACTTAATTTAAGAATCTATATTAATACTAGTTGAGCCGGCGAACGTTGTTTTGCCATATAAATAATTTTACTAAAATGTCTATTAAAAAATAAGGGTTGATCGTAGAAGGGTGAAAATTAAGGATTGTGTGTGTTTTTGTATGTTGTATCATAAAAAAATAGAAATTAAAAATTTTGTCTAAAAAATAGTAAAAAAATTTAAGGGTGAACAACCCTTATCACTTAGGGGGATGAAGAATAGATGTTGTCATATTCTCAAACCTACTGAATACACATATCAAATTTGATGAAAATCGGTCGAGCCGTTTCGGAGGAGTTCAAGTTCGAACACCGTGACACGAGAATTGTATATATTAGATTGTTATTTAACAGTCTGTTAATTTGAACGCGCTAATATCAGAAACTGTCTTGAAAAAAAATATTTCAACTTAGACGGCTTCCGTTGTCCGTGCCCCCCCAGCCCCCGCCCCCCGTGTGAAACAAATAGAAAGCAGCATACATTTTTTATGCCCAAACTAACTACTCCACGAGACCGAAGTCACAGACACAGCTAGTAAATAATATATAGATATAAAACGGCAATTGATGCTATGGGTGCTTGTTACAGTCAGAAGGCCAGTGAACTGGACTGTGACACTTCCTCATTTCAGTAAAATTTCTAAGACAGTATATAAAAAACACATATAGTACATATAGTTAAAAGGAAACTTCGAAGTATGAGTAAAATAATAAATGATAATAATGGATCATATAATGCGCTGATGTGCTTAGACGAATGTGAAAGTTTTTTGAATACGCAAATAATTAAGGCTTTCCAAGCATGGCATTATTAATGACGAGAAGAAGGCTACATCTACTTATATGTACATTACGGTGATGTCTGATTCGTTGATACTCGTAAAGTAGCAGGCGATTGTTTGCCTCGAGCTGTACAGTTATTATGAATTCTTTATGACTTTTACGAGCGATGAAGCGATATTATTGTATGGAACTTTGGTACTTTATCTCAACAACCAGTCGACAAGTTTGGCACTATGCTCGTAGAATAGTTAAAATCTCTTAGTTCATTACTGCACAAGTGTTGCATATTGCAAGTTAAGGGAATATTAAAGTTTTCTGTGCAAAACACACAAAACGATGTATTTTTATTACTTACGTCTTCTACTTACTTCTACATGAAAGTAAAAGTCGAAAGGAATACTTTCTTAGTAGATACAATACCTTTCCACAGAACCATCACAACCACAATATATATCTGGTGTTATACCAAGATGAGCGCGTATTACGGGGTTCTTGCAGCCTAAACGTGTTTAGAATTTTTTCCTCACAATCTTACTACATCTAACATCACGTCTACACGAATATTTTGAGTCGAAGCTGTTAGCTAACCCTTTTAGTAAGTAGCTTGCTTAAGTTTTGTTTGTAGTATGTATATCTTAATGTATAAAAGTAAAAAATAGGAGAATCACAATATATATAATGTAAGTAATATTAATTATTTTTTAAATAAAACACTTTAACGGTTTAAAACGCGATATATTAGTTAAACTTATTTGGAAATGATTTTTAACTTCGGCCCGACGTTGGCAAAGCATCCAAAGTTTAACTAATATATCGCGTTTTAAATCGTACTACTCGCGTAAACTATAGACAGTATTTAATATTATTTTAAAAATTTTCAATTGGTAACTAACGTAAATCGAAACAAACGTTCTGTATTGTTTTATTAACTATACAAAAAAGCATAAATAACTCGGCATACGCGGACATATTAAGAAATGATTATGTACATAAATCAGGTCAGGAAATAACCAGGATAAAATTAAGGGAGGATGAAAAATAAAAATGAATTAAAACAAATTATGTCTAAACCTTTACATTAATAAACAGCTTAAACAATTAAAAATCTACCCCAAGTCACTATTCCACGCGGACGAAGTCTCGGGCACAGCTAGTATATCATATGTCGATATGTCCAATTTACAGACTATAAGACTAGTTCCGACTTATTATTAATTATCTTACCGACACATCAAAGTTATTTAATTAGTATTTTTGTGATTCGTTTTTATAATTATTTTATAGTAAAAAGTTATTCTTATCACATTAGGGGTTTTTTTTCCTATTACTCTACCGAAGATGAAGGTCGCCTCCGAAGCTACAAAGCTAATCTGTCGAATATCCTATCTTATACGAACACACTACCCTATTATTATAGCCACATTATTTTCATTTACCTTTTAATTTTGCTTTTATTTCGTCAGAAAAAAATCGGGGCGTTATTAACTATGGTTAGTAGAGGCGGGCGATTATGAGATATACTAATGAAATATGTATTAGTAGTTACTAATACTTCTAAACGTCACACACCAAACGTCTTGTATAATGTCGGATGTGACCCTTTTATTATTTTTTTATTACGATCATATTCTATTGGAAGACGGTATAATAATAATAAAACTTCAGGAATATTTAATATTTGTTGATATTTTTTGGCTTTTTATTGTTTATGTATTTAGGTTTCCCAAATAAATTAATAATTTCTTCTTAGATGATAGCGGAAATTTAAGAAATCAGTCAATCTGAAATAAAACGGTTATTGATGAATAATATTTCTTAGATTGAATACAAAGATTCATTGTTTATTTAAATATTTGTTTAGAATTTTAAAAAATACAAAATTATTAAGTAATACATCAAGGAAATAAACACTTATTTATTAAAGGTTTATTTAAAACTAAAAGTCATACTTAGACTTTTAGACATAAATAAAAAAGACGACTTCAACTTACTTTTAAATATAATAAATCCACTAACAGTGAAAAGCTCCACGTCTTACAATATCGTAGTAAACAAAACAAACTACACCAGTATTTAAAAGTATCAAATATTGGTTAAACAACGAAAGTCAAGGAGTGCACGATTAGTATTAAATATTATGAAATAAATTAGTTACTAATCCCATAATCGATTACCAACTTTAATAATACAAAATAATTCGATTATGCCGATCATTCATAATCGCCCACCTCTAATGGTTAATGTTAAACTATTTCAATTGACAGATGCCACGGTTTAACAAATCGATATTTGACATGACATTTGACAATTGACTAGCAAGTATTTTTTAACAACAACAATACGAACAAAAAAACAACAACAAACCGAAATATTGGTAAAATGCCGTAAAAGTTTTACTTTAGTTTGTTTACTATACGTAAAGATGGTGAATAAGAATTTAAACCTGTGTAGGGTGTGCTTATATGCCTGTGTGACTACAAAATCATTCGACAAGGACAAAGACTTGTTATTAATGTACGAATTTTGTTGCGGCATAATTGTACGTAAGTTTACCTCAAGATTCTTAAATAATTGTTCTATTTAATGACTGAACATACTATTTATTTATTTAGATAGGTGACAGCTGTCCTAGACAGGTCTGTGAAAACTGTTTTAAGGAGTTAGATTTTTACGCAAAATTTAAAAGGAAATGTGCAGAGTCCGAAAGATTTTGGATATCATATAATGCACTTGGCGACAAAGCAACAAATTCGAAAAATGTAAGTACTTACAATTTAATATTATCAGTATAAATCAGAGTTACTAATATGTTGTCAATGACATGAGCATAATTTTATTTATTATGAATCCTAAGTGTGCAAAATAGATAATTTTGTAGATATATTTAATAGTTCTAGTTTCATAGATATATTTAATTTAAAAAGTGATTGGAGTACTACTTGATTTCTTGAATAATTTGAGTAATGTATATGTAACATTTATTTTAGAATGAAAATTTAGAAGTACATCCAATAACTAAGACAAAATACTTTGAAGAGGAATCAAGAAATTCTTCTATAGATTCACTGGATTCCGTTGATTTACTATCGATTGAGAAACAAATTGAAGTCCTACAAGATTCAAAAAAGAAAATAATTAAAATATCACAACTGAATATAGACAAAACAAAAGTAAATTCAACAGCAAATATATTAAAACCACACTGCAGTGTATCTGCTAAAGAAGTACCTTATAAAAAGAATGTTGTAAGAAACAATGGCTGCGGTAATAAATCTTTAAAGTTTTCATTACATTTATATCTCAAACTAGTAGTGGTTATTCTTACATTTAAAATTATTATTAAACAATTTTGGTTATTAACTATATTCTTGCCTTTTTAAATAATAGTGCTTATATTTTAGGTTTATGTAAAGAGACCGGCTTTAATGAAAAAGAGTTGAACACACATTTGAGCAATCATTTGGCACGAAATACATTAAAATGTGAGTTATGTGATTTTGTTGGAAGAGATTTTGCTGACATGTTGTATCATCGGTAAGTTTGTAGAACTTTATATCTAAGTAATATATTCTCTTATGCAGAACTAAATATTTTCAAACATCATTGTCGATTTAAGTGCAGACCATGTGACATGTGTAATGGTATCAAAGCGTGGAAGTCGGCTATCATGTTTCCTGTGTAAAAAGCTTCGTTTGGGCTCTCTACGTCTACAGTTCCACTTCAGACAAGAACACCTGAATAAGGAGGGAGGATGGTGCATTTCTTGTGGAAAAACATTTAAAACCTTTAAGGGATTTCACGCTCATATGAAAGTACATAATGATAAAGAGCTTTTAATATGCAATTATTGTAATGGAAAGTAAGTAATGTGTTTTTAGCAGTTTTTATAATATTCATTTATTAGCAAAAGACATCTGAGTGCAAGCAGGTCCCGATGTCTTTTAACATTATTAATTAACAAATTATACTATACAGACATTTGTTTTATTAAATTGTTTCATTCATAAGGTCAATTCGTTTGATAATGGATTTCTATTAATTAAAAAATGTTTATTGTGAGGACTAACGCAAGACACAAATTTTATCTCTCTATGTATCCAACTGCATTATTCCAGATTTGTATTCAAGAGCAACTTAGAAGAACACATTAAAAGTCATTTGGGGTTGAAGACACACATGTGTGAAAATTGTGGAAAGGGTTTCATTAAGCAAAGGGCTTTAAGGGTAGCTATATATATGATCGTTGACATTGTAATATTTTGGCAAAACTTGGCACTAGGTCAAAGCAATTGCAAAATGCAGTTAAATTAAGAAAAATAGTTATCTGGTAGTTACAGTTTTAGCTAACATTAATATTAATATTTTAGCTTCATCTAAGGACTGCACATTCAACAAACGATCGGATAAAGTGTAAACATTGTGACAAAATGTACAAAAATGAAGATACGCTGCGACACCACATGCGAGAAGTGACGCGCGCAAAGCCCTACATTTGCACCATATGCTCGAAAGCCTTCAGTGTGCCGTCGGCTTTGAAATCCCACGCGTTTTATCACACGGGTCAGCGGCCGTTTCAATGCGACACTTGTGGAGCGAAGTTTAAGAATAAGTCCGCGCTAACAGCTCATCGCTTGAGCCAGCACGTGGGAGTCTCAAAGCACAAATGTGTGTACTGCGAGAAGTGTTTCTTCACATCCACCACCTTAAGGAGGCATCTGACCGTCCATACGGGTATCAAAAAGTTCTCATGTCCCCAGTGCGATAAAGGTTATAATGACAAGTATAGATTTGAAGCGCATTTGGCTAAACACAGTTAGATGTACCTAGATTTAAATAAATTATGTCTAAATAAATTTTCTCGTTTTATTGAACCTATTTTCCTATGAACTTCAACCATCTACTTCAGTTTAATGGAGTTGGAAAACTGTAAATTAAATAAGGCTTAAAGAAGTGTCAATTATATGGCTTTAATGCTTACGATATTACAAAAATTAACACTAAACAGGCACACTCAGAGCACTTAGTACCGCAGATAAGATTTTTTTAAATTTGAACCTGTCAACATTATCCTACAAAGAAAGATATTCATTATTTCTTAACATAGTTAATAGTATTAGTGTAGTTCAAATTGTGTTTGTGTTTGTTGTCCTCATGTTTATGCGAGAGAAAAATGCTAATCCATCACCGTCCCGAGCAGCAAGTCTCGTTAGCATAATGAATTAGCCGCCGACGGCCCGATCGTTTCTTTAACTCGCCAAATAGGCTGTGAGAGAGTTTTCTAAATTGCATTTCTCATAAAACAATACGAGTGCTTCGTTGTGGTCGGAAAACTAAACTAAGTACACAAAAGTAAAGATTGTCCTTTGAACGTATAGAGAGGCACATTGAGTTGTTATAATTCAATTGAGACATTTAAATTATCTCTCTTATATCATCTTGCCCTCGAGTGTAAAACATAATAAGTTCTCATTTACATTCCTGTAGTGCATTTAGTACATATTTAATTTCATTACTCATAACAATTTAAAAAGAACTTATCAGGTGACACATTTAGATGTGTGCTTTGAACCGTAATAGATACGTTTTCTCTTCTTTTAATTCTTGATAAAAAATTCACCGATAAAGTGCTCTCATTTTAAGCCTACGCCGAGGAGACAAGTCAAACCTTTATTATTAACGACCTTCGACCTCGAGTGCGTACCTTTCGTAGTTTTCTTGGGCTTTTCAAAACCATTAATGTTCGCTATGAAGCATTAAACTAGCATCTGTTTTTTTTTGTAAGATTCAGAGAAAATATTGAAGTCAAAATCGTTAAACGACAGGCTGTTTGTAATCAAGCATACTTAGTTATATTACGTTACATACCTTCTACATCGTACTCGTATTAACGTTTAATCGCAAACCTAAATGAGAACATTTGGATGCATTAGAGCTTGTGAGGTTTTTATTTGCGTTGTACGTGCGCAGAATAAAGGATAAAAATATCCACATTTTAAGAACTTCATCGTCAAATCCGATGAGATTTATCATCTAGCAATTATAATGAAAATATAATTATTATTATTTAAACTTAGTGTACATTGACCAATGTGGATTGGAAAAAGTGCTGTCAGTCAGTGGCCAAACAAAACTAATGGAATGGCTATGAAATGGAAGCGAGAAAATTATTTATGAAAACACCTAATAAGCGCTCTGGAGTAAGTACGTTTCGTAACAATGCAATAACTCGTGCTATCGCTGCGAAGCAGGAACGCGTTCGTCCCAAATCCAGCCTTCCATTGAATTTCGGTGTTTCCTTTGATCCGGAAAGTACCAGGTCTCGTTTGGAAATCTTTCGACGTTCTTGGAATAAAATTGGGTTTACGAGTATTATTATTTTATTTTTGTTATTTTGGAAAAAACCTGGAATTTGTAATTTTATTACGATCATACTACAGACAGAAAAGTAAAGAGGCGAAATGTACAATTATTGCACTGTTTAATCACTTGTATGAGACCTCAAACGGGTGAAAATTAAATATTTATGATTAACATCTGCGTCATATTATATACATTCATAAGAAGAGCGCGTCCTCAATTCTACGAAATCAAATAGACTAAGCGACGATTTCTTGTGACCAACGTTCATTGTGAAATTATAGTTTTTATGTTGAGATAATCTTTTTATATATTTATACATAAGATTATATTATTTTTACAAACATGCTTGGAAATTTTAGCATTATTTTAACAACTTTCTGTACTGGTTGAGCAGCGGCCGACATTTTATTTTATTAACGGTTATAGAAGGTTATTATTTATTGATACTAAAACTGAAACACGCCAAACGCCTTTTTATTCGAGGAATCAGGATAAAAAAGGAAAATTTTAAAAATAATGAAAACTCACGAAGTTATAGATTTTTTTTCATGTTCATGGTGAACCACATGGTCACTGAGCAGGCGTCGTTAGTTCAAAGCGACGAGCGGCTGCCGCGGCTTCCCCGAATTTTTATACTTATGTAGGAATTTATTTATCGAACAGTGTCCAGGATTGCAAAAATTTCATATTATGAAAAAAATATCTATAACGTGGTATAAAAACTATGGGAATGGATTCTGCTACTGATTCTGAACAAACTACTTTCAGGTTTCGCATCAAGTAGGAATAACCCTGTATACCTATGTCGTGTTTAACGGACAAATAAATTACTATGTGAAATCATTTTTGTCGTGCAATTCTAAAACGCAACGATCTTCTGCTTCGCAATATGGTGACCAAAGGTTACTTAACTTATCAAAGATTTTTAATTTTGTGGCTTGCACATAAGCTGTTTAGTGAAATAAAATACTTTGGCACGCAAGAAACTTGTGTTAGTTGTTCGTCATCTTCATTATTGGTTTTAAAGGTCTCAATTGTACTACTTACTTTTAATTTCGCGCATTTTTTGCGAAAAGTACTATACAAGCCTTGGTTGCAACTAGACATTGATGGACGAACGTTTGAATGTTGGCCGAGGCAAACATTTGGGCTCTTTGGTCTAAATAATTGGGTATAAAATGATGGCGTAGAAAATAGTGTTATTACAAATATATATTTTTTCCTCGTCTCATATCCAGTTGGTAATCGACTATCATCGAGTCGATATTGCCTGAAGCAAAGAAGGAATAAATTACCTTTCCAATATTACTTCACAGAGTGCTGATGCTAAAAAAAATCTTTATGGAGGCGATCTGGAAACGTCAGGACATCAAATCCTTTTTATATTGTTAAGGGATGGAAAATGTCTGCGATGCGTGGTGGGCAGATATTGTAAAGCTAAACATTTAAGAAACGCAATTTATTTATATCAGAAAGGGAGAAAATAATATCATTATCTTTCTATTGATTAAATTTTGTTTAATTGATAAAAAAACTGATTCCTATTTTATTGTTTTTGACATTTGACAGACGCAAACACTTAAAACGGTTTCGAACTATGTAAACTTAATTTCTATAAACCCATTTATTTTAACTGTGGCCCGACGTTTCGGATGCTTGCAGTAGCCGTGGACACGGGCGGACTGACTGGAGATAAGGGCGTCCCTAATGAAAAAGTAAAAACGCTGCGCTATCGCCATCCGTTCCGTCGCAGTTGGTATTAGACGAACTGGCTGGGCCTTTCAGGACTAACTAATGGTATCCTCTCGTTTAATAAATAAGTTTAACTAATACATTTCACGTTTGAAACGTTAAGTATTTTAATTAAATGACTAGTTACTAGTTAGTACTGAAAGGCCGCCTTTTCTCGCTACTTTAGCGAAAGGCCGCCTTTTCCCGCTACTTTGTTAAATTTTAATTAAGTTTATTTTGTAACATTGTGGTGAAAATAAAGTATTTTTTGTTTGTTTGTTTGTTTGTTTGTACTACTCACGTAAACTAGACAGACAGTACTGGGTTTTGACACTCTCATTTTGAGGCATTCGTTGACTAACAGCAGCAATGTTTGGCTCCAATAATTAACAGGTTCGTGTCTATTCGTGTTCGTGTATTATTATCCTTTTTAATGTTTTTTTATCGTTTATGAACCGATTATTTTTGTGATGGAATAGATATAAATATCAAAAGCAAAATCTCAACTGAAGGGCTCAGTATTCGCTTTGACTAACCAACAATCCCCGCAAAAGAAAGTTGATTTTTTAGTCTCCCCATGACCATGACTACAACACATAACATCCACACGACAAAGCATCCGAAACGTCTAACCGTAGTAAAAATAATTTTCAAATAAGTTTAACCAATATATTACGCGTTTTAAACCATTAAAGAGTTTATTAATTTTACCTTTCTTGTCAGTTGTCGTGTATTATAAAGAAAATGCTACTGCGTTACTCAGTTAAATGTTTAATGTCACCTTTGGCGTTACGACGTCCACCGCATCGATTTATGAGAGACTCGGAAGAGCGCAACCGGTAGATATATGGACAAATTCAATAAAATATTGGATGAATTGTGCCCACAATGTTTTAACCTTTTATCCCTTCTGATTTGGAGAGTGATGTATTACTTGCTACTTTATTGAAAGGCTTTCGACCTGAACGCTGACTGATATAAATGTATGTACACTTTTCATGTATTGCAAATAGTTGAGCGGCCAAGAAGATTAATAACGGCGTTAGTGCTGCGAAATTGAAATCGTTTTGTTGACTTCAAGCTCAAATTGATTCGCTTAAAGTATTGGCATGGTTAAGTGTTTAATGTCGGTATTTAAGCTGTACTCGTTTTTGTATCTCCAAATTGTGTAAGTCTCTCGCCACCACATTGCAAAGCTTGGCTTTTCGAGCTATTTAGCAGTGACATTGTACGTATTGTAGTTAAGTTAATCGTTTTTAGGTTGTCTTTGATTATGCTTCCTGGATTCCTAGATTAAGGCCTGTCCGACTTACAAAATGCATGTCATACACAACTAAGTTGATTCCGAAAAACATGTCATCAGTCCCCATAGATTTTTATTGGTGCATTGTTCATTTTTATTAATTTATTGTATTGTTCATCTGTATTAGTATTAAGTCTTGCAGAACAAATATTTGATGAACATGTATATAATGTACGAAGTCTGTAGTTTACGCAAGTAGATAAGTTATTCGCGCGATATTATAAAGGTTCCATGCAATTGCCAACTTTGGATAAAGAAATAAAAGAATAATTACGAATGATCAATTCTCGGAACCCAACTAAATCCTTTTGGGATTTCGACTTATATTTACGACTGCCGACTTAAACGATTTCGTGAAAGTTCTGCCATTGCTCCACTGATAAATATATCCAATCATATAAGTTGAACATCTTGATAAACTCT